GGGGGGATTGGGGGTTGATTAATGGGGGAAGTGGGGATTGATTAAGAGGGAAGTGGGGGTTAATTAATGGAAATAGGGGGTTGATTAAGGGGGAATTGGGGATTGATTAAGGGGGGATTGGGGGTTAATTAATGGGGAATTGAGCGTTAATTAAGGGGGAATTGGGGATTGGTTAAAGAGGAATTGGGGGTTGATTAATGGGGGATGGCGGATTAATTAAGGGGGAATTGGGGGTTAATTAATGGGGATTATGGGTTAATTAATGGAAATTGGGCATTGATTAAAGGGGGATTGGGGGTTGATTGAGGGGGAAGTGGGGGTTAATTAATGGGAATTGGGGGTTGATTAATGGGGGGTTGGGGGTTAATTAAGGGGGAATTGGGGGTTGATTAATGGGGAATTGGATTGGGGATTGATTAAGGAGGAAATGGGGCTTAATTAAGGGGGAAAGTGGGGTTAATTAAGGGGGAATTGGGGGTTAATTATTGGGGAATTGGGGGTTAATTAAGGGGGAAGTCGGGGTTAATTAAAGGGGAAATTAGGGATTGATTAATGGGGAATTGCGGATTAATTAAGGGGGAATTGAGGGTTGATTAAGGGAGAATTGGAGATTAATAATTGGGAATTGGGAATAAAAATAGGGAATTAAAGGGGGAAATTGAGGATTAATTAACGGGAAATTGGGCGTTGATTAAAGGGGAATTGGAGATTGATTAAAGGGGAATTGGGGATTAATTAACGGGCAATTGGAAGTTAATTAAGGGGGGATTGGGGATTGATTAAGGGGGAAAATTTGGGATAAAAATGGAAAATTTGGGAATAAAGCGTGGGGATGAAAGAGGGAAACTTGTGATAAAAATTGGGAATTAAAGGGGGGAAATTGGGGATTAATTAAGGAAAAATTGGGGATTAATTAAGGAAAAATTGGGGATTGATTAACGGGGAATTGGGGATTGATTAACGGGGAATTGGGGATTAATTAAGGGGGAATTGGGGATTAATTAAGGGGGAATTGGGGATTGATTAACGGGAAATTGGGGATTAATTAACGGGAAAATGGGGATTGATTAAAGAGGGAAACTTGTGATAAAAAGGAAATTGAGGATTAATTAACGGGAAATTGGGCGTTGATTAAAGGGGAATTGGAGATTGATTAAAGGGGAATTGGGGATTAATTAACGGGCAATTGGAAGTTAATTAAGGGGGGATTGGGGATTGATTAAGGGGGAAAATTTGGGATAAAAATGGAAAATTTGGGAATAAAGCGTGGGGATGAAGGGGGAAATTGAGGATTAATTAACGGGAAATTGGGCATTGAGTGACAGGGAATTGGGGATTGATTAAAGGGGAATTGGTGATTGATTAAAGAGGGAAATTTGTGATAAAAATTGGGAATTAAAGGGGGGAAATTGGGGATTAATTAAGGAAAAATTGGGGATTGATTAAGGAGGAATTGGGGATTGATTAAGGAAGAATTTGGGATTGATTAAGGGGGAATTGGGGATTGATTAGGGGGGAATTGGGGATTGATTAAAGGGGAATTGGGGATAAAAACTGAGAATTTAGAGGGAAAAATCTGGAATTAAGAAACGGGAAGAAGGAAACCGAAAAGAAACGGGAATAAAACCGGGGGAATTGGGGATTAATTAAGGGGGAATTGGGGATTGATTAACGGGAAATTGGGGATTAATTAACGGGAAAATGGGGATTGATTAAAGAGGGAAACTTGTGATAAAAATTGGGAATTAAAGAGGGGAAATTGGGGATTAATTAGGGAGGAATTGGGGATTGATTAAGGAGGAATTGGGGATTGATTAAGGAAAAATTGGGGATTGATTAACGGGGGAATTGGGGGTTAATTAAAGGGGAATTGGGGATTAATTAAGGGGGAAGTGGGGGTTGATTAAAGGAGAATTGGGGGTTCATTACGGGAATGACGAAATAAAACCGGGAATGACGAAATAAAACCGGGAATGACGAAATAAAACCGGGAATGACGAAATAAAACCGGGAATGACGAAATAAAAACGGGAATAAGGGCGGGAAAGGGAAAAGGGGAACGCGACGAGGGAGGGAAGGCCCGCGGGCAGCCCTGAGAGGCAGGGGGGTCATTAGGGCGGTAATTAGGGCGCTAATGAGGAGCAGTCCCGAGGGGGGGTCATTAGGGCGGTAATTAAGCGTTAATTGGGGGAGCGGCCCCGCCGCCATCGCCGCTCACCGCGCTCGGCGCACCCGGAAGCGGAAGTGGCGGGCGGAAGCGGAAGTTGAGGTGAAAAGGGGCGGGGCCGATAGGGATCGGTGTTGTGGGCGTGGCTTTGCGCCAGAACGAGGCTGGGGCGGAGCCTAATGAGGAACTACATTGGGGCGGGATTTGGTATCAGAACGAGGCTGGGGCGGGGCCTAATGAGGAACTACATTGGGGCGGGATTTGGTATCAGAACGAGGCTGGGGCGGGGCCTAATGAGGAACTACATTGGGGCGGGATTTGGTATCAGAACGAGGCTGGGGCGGGGCCTAATGAGGAACTACATTGGGGCGGGATTTGGTATCAGAACGAGGCTGGGGCGGGGCCTAATGAGGAACTACATTGGGGCGGGATTTGGTATCAGAACGAGGCTGGGGCGGGGCCTAATGAGGAACTACATTGGGGCGGGATTTGGTATCAGAACGAGGCTGGGGCGGGGCCTAATGAGGAACTACATTGGGGCGGGATTTGGTATCAGAACGAGGCTGGGGCGGGGCCTAATGAGGAACTACATTGGGGCGGGATTTGGTATCAGAACGAGGCTGGGGCGGGGCCTAATGAGGAACTACATTGGGGCGGGATTTGGTATCAGAACGAGGCTGGGGCGGGGCCTAATGAGGAACTACATTGGGGCGGGATTTGGTATCAGAACGAGGCTGGGGCGGGGCCTAATGAGGAACTACATTGGGGCGGGATTTGGTATCAGAACGAGGCTGGGGCGGGGCCTAATGAGGAACTACATTGGGGCGGGATTTGGTATCAGAACGAGGCTGGGGCGGGGCCTAATGAGGAACTACATTGGGGCGGGATTTGGTATCAGAACGAGGCTGGGGCGGGGCCTAATGAGGAACTACATTGGGGCGGGATTTGGTATCAGAACGAGGCTGGGGCGGGGCCTAATGAGGAACTACATTGGGGCGGGATTTGGTATCAGAACGAGGCTGGGGCGGGGCCTAATGAGGAACTACATTGGGGCGGGATTTGGTATCAGAACGAGGCCGGTGCCAGTCCCAGTTCCATACTGGGACAAACCGGTGCCAGTCCCAGTCCCTCCCAGTCCCTCCCAGTTCCCTCCCAGTTCCCAAAAACAACTCCTGGGTGTCCATCCATGGCTTTATTCCACCCAAAATCCCAGAATTCTGCCCAAAATCTTAAGGATTTCCCCCAAAAATCCCAAAATTCTGCCCAAAATCCCCGGATTTTTGCTCAAAATTCCATTATTCTGCCCCAAATCCCAAGAATTCCACCCAAAATCCCAGGAATTCCTCACCAAAATCCCAAAATTCTGCCCAAAATCTCAAGGATTTCCCCCAAAAATTACAAAATTCTGCCCAAAATCCTGGGAATTTCCCCTAAAATCCCGGAATTTTGCTCAAAATCCTGGGAATTTCCCCTAAAATCCCAGAAATCTGCCAAAAATCCCAAAATTCTGCCCAAAATCCCAGGAATTCCCCACCAAAATCCCAAAATTCTGCCCAAAATCCTGGGAATTTCCCCTAAAATCCCAGAAATCTGCCAAAAATCCCAAAATTCTGCCCAAAATCCCAGGAATTCCCCACCAAAATCCCAAAATTCTGCCCAAAATCTCAAGGATTTCCCCTAAAATCACAAAATTCTGCCCAAAATCCCAGAATTTTCCTCAAAATTCCCATTATTCTGCCCCAAATCCCAATAATTTCACACAAAATTCTGGAATTCCACCCAAAATCCCAGGAATTCCTCACCAAAATCCCAAAATTCTGCCCAAAATCTCAAGGATTTCCCCCAAAAATTACAAAATTCTGCCCAAAATCCTGGGAATTTCCCCTAAAATCACAGAATTCTGCCAAAACCCCCAAAATTCTGCCCAAAATCCCAGTATTTTTTCCCCAAATCCCAATAATTTCACACAAAATTCTGGAATTCCACCCAAAATCCCAGGAATTTCCCTCTAAAATCCCAGAATTCTGCCCAAAATCTCAAGGATTTCCCCCAAAAATCCCAAAATTCTGCCCAAAATCCCAGGATTTTCACTCAAAATTCCCATTATTCTGCCCGAAATCCCAAGAAATCCACACAAAAATCTGGAATTGCACCCAAAATCCCAGGAATGATTCTGCCCAAAATCCCAGGAATGCCCCACCAAAATCCCAAAATTCTGCCCAAAATCCTCGGAATTTCCCCCAAAATCCCAAAATTCCACCCAAAATCCCAGAATTTTGCCCAAAATTCCCCACCAAATCCCTTTAATTCTGCTCAAAATTCCCAAAAATTCCCTCAAAACTCCCTGGAATTCCCCAAAATTCCCAGGCTGGGGCTCCCCCTATAAATACAGTGCAAAAAAAAATCAAAG